CTGTTGACACAGTAAACATGTCTTTAATTCACCAACATTGATCTGGACTGAGACGTGGTGCTGTTGTCACAACACTGTTGATCTGCACATGTGCTCATTAAGCCAGAGGACATGAAAGACATACAGCAGCTTCAAAGAGGAAGACTCGTCATCACCATTTGCCAGCAGTAATATGCCAGCCTGGAGATCAGCAGTCATTTGCATCATAAAGATATCGATTCTAAAAGACATGGAGAACAACTTGAGTTGAGCTGATCGGCTTGTATACACTGTAAAAAGTGGAGATTTGCAGCTCTTCTGCTGCATCAGACCCTTAATAAAACACTTTTGTTAGTGTAACCATAGTGAAAAATAAATATGCATAAATGTATTTGAAATACATTTATTTCATGCTAAGCATACTACAAATACATTTATGTAAATATCCTGCAATTGTACTTTACTATACTAAACTGGTAGCCTATACTTAAAGTCTGCTAAATTGGAACAACTCATTTTGTGCTTAATGCACTTTAATTGTGCAGAAGTAAGTCCAACTAAAGATATACTGAGGTAAATCTGATTGTAAGAAAGTGGAACTCTCACAAGTACACTTCAGGTACACTTTAAATATTTGACCTTTTTTCACAGTGTACTCAATCAAATATGAACAAATATGGAAACTTTGTCTGCTTTATGCAATAAGCAGCATATAGCTTTCTTAAATGTAACATGAGGTTTGTGTCAGGAAAAAGAGAAAATGGGATAATTCCTGAAGATCTCTCAGCATTGAGTTTTGCACATGCAGATACTCCAGACATGTGAGGTTTGCAGTAATCGTTTCTCAGATAACATTAAAGGTGGAGGGGCGCATGAGGGACCAGCATACCCCACACCCAACCACACAGCGAAAGATGAAAAGTATCATATGGGACTCTATGATTATACCAATCCCAGAACAAGAATTCACGCATGATCTTCAAAGGCAGTTGTTACTTAAGTTCACTCACAAATCCATCTCCTCATATCTCAAAACCACACATTTTAGGCTTAATATTAAGAAATGTGCATTGTGCACAAGTAGTACGCCAAAAAAAGTTACATTATTATTTTTATATCAGTAAGTTCCAAGCAATATGTAAGTAAATATGTAAATAGATTTGAACTTAGTATGAAATAGATGCATTTTAAATATATTACTTTTTTACTAGGGAACCGTATGTAGCAGGTCGATTCAGTCATATTAGATCTTTTTTTTTTACTTGAATAAAACCAGTTATATTTAATTTAGATGCTTTTACATGAAGCGCATTTTAGGTTATGCACTCTAAAAAATGCTGGGTTAAATATAACCCAGCGCTGGATCTCAAAAACAGTGTTGCGAAATACACACCTAGAGGGGAAGCTTTCTTCTTTCTCAACAATATCAGCTCTGCGACTTTACAAGTCTAATCTAAGCGTCTAGTAATGTTCCCTGTTCGGTTTCTGAAGCTTCAAACCTTTTGGAAAGGTTACAATGCAAAGAGAAGCTGTCAAAAACAACATTTCATATCCCATAACAAAACGTCTCAGGTTACTTATGTAACCATGGTTCCCTGAGTAGGGAACGAGACACTGCGTCCTCTAGGGGTCCGGATGCACACATCCTTAAATGCTTTGCTAGTGCTCGCCATAATGAGATGAATAGAGATCGCTCTTACCACAGAAATGCACGCTTCAAACAAAACAGTGAATGAAGACGAAGAAGAGAATGATGTGTGCTCCCGGCGCCTATTTATACTATAGTCGCACCGGTAGTGGTGTCATGGCTGTCGCCGGCCAACGAGTTGGTGTTTTTTCAATGTATGCTTCAGACACGGGTCACGACGAGGCATTCCCCATAGCGACCCCTAGAGGACGCAGTTCGAAGTTCCCATGAAAGGAACATATTCCATAACACAGAGGACGCAGAAGTGTTGCTGCTGAACTATTCTTCAGAAGAATGATTTCCTTCAGAAGTCAAATGCACACGTATCCTACAGATTCAACAAGCACATGTGTGAAGAAGACCAGGGCAAGACTGCCTTGCGCTAGGTGCGTGTGCATGTCTCAACCAGATGAAAAACAAACGGATGACTGATGCAGTTATGTGTTGGGTGATTTATAGACAGGCAGCGGGTGCAAAACACACTTTTCTTCCTCCTCTTCACTACATGCAATTACTGCTGTTATTATTATCTTTGGACTACTGATAGTTTGTGGTTTTTACCCTCAATTTGAGTGAAAAATGGTCTGATCATCATTTACTGTTCATTATAATCAGCCAGGGCTGCGTCAAACGAGATCAAGCACTGTGGAAAAGCATATATCTGTTGAAAGTTCAGCTCTGATGTCTGTCCCTGTGGTCCAGTGATCGGAGAATGTACCGCATCAATCTCACAGAACGCTCTAGAATATGTGGCCTATTCAAAATAGCACAATGTCTCAAACCGATGTCTCCATGTGTCAGCATCCTTAGAGTTGGCAAAACTCCAGATAACTGAATCAACATGAACGGACTTTAACAGTTCACTTTTAAACTAAAAACTATTGACTTTAAAAATCAACCGATTGCTATTGTCCTCTTTCTAGAGCTGCTTTACAGGTTTGCATCGCTGGAACTTTATTTTCCTGTTTATCACCGTGAAGCTGCTTCGACAGTCTGTATTGTGTAAAGCACTGTAGAAATAAAGGTGACTTGAATTGCAATCCGAGATTTCTCAAAGTTTCTCACCCAGAATCAAATGATCTATGAGTTCTGAGCTATTCATATTAATTTTTTTTATTTCTATACTCCCAAATACTCTATACACAAATGCTCTTCTGTTAGAAAATATAGTATACTATATAAAAATACTGAAGTATAATATAAAAAAATGGCCTTATGTTATGAGCATAGCCGACATCACACAAGCTTTGGCAGTGAAAAAGTGATGTTTATGTACAAACACAGCTAAGAATTTAATTGCAATCCAAGTGAGCATTTTTACTTCTCTTTGGCAATTGACACAATAACAAACAGAAGCTTGAGTTTCGATGACAGGACCAGAACGGAGAAAATATGTCTATCTATCTATCTATCTATCTATCTATCTATCTATCTGTCTGTCTGTCTATCTATCTATCTATCTATCTATCTATCTATCATCTGATTATTTCTATCTGTCTGTCTGTCTGTCTGTCTGTCTATCATCTGATTATTTCAATCTATCTATCTATCTATCTATCTATCTATCTATCTATCTATCTATCTATCTATCTATCTATCTATCATCTGACTATTTCTATCTATCTATCTATCTATCTATCTATCTAATATTTCTTATCTTTCCGTGTGTTAATAATGTTTTTGAGAAAGCTATCTGAATGCTATCATTATGTGTAAGGCGATCTGGTGGATATTTCGCAGCAATCAATGGAGTTGTTTAGCAACGAGTGGCAAAGGTCTAAATGAAAGAAATGTCAAAGTCATCAATCACCTGACAGCTCCAGCTCCAGCTCCGCCCCCTTGAGCAAGTCATCACCATAACACTCACTGCGCTCATCAATTACACACGGAGCTGTAGTCACTGTCCAACACGGAGCATTGCTGTTGTGTAATGTTTATTCAGCCCATTCAGATCCCATTTTTCGGCCTTTTTTTGTGCCTAGCATCACTTTGTTCAAATCACTAAACCTAAGTAAGAGCACTAGTAACAGTGTTGCTTTCCATTAGCAAACACTATACTATAACAACATAACCATGCTTACATGAGATCTAAATTTGATTTTAATAATTAACATCCACATTCCAACTTTGTCACCCACAAATTAAAGTTATTGCATAATGCAAACGGAATGCATTGGGTGTTCAGAAATGACAAAGTATAAATAAAACATTCATATAAAAATATTATTTTACAAAATATACTCTCTTACCGATATTTTACAATTACAGTGTAAATTCTACATCTGGATTCATCACTATACCAGTTACAAAAAGCTTGTGGTCAGTAGTTTCGTAATATTACAGCGAATGTGATTATTCCAGACTAGCAGCACACAGGAAATTTCTCATAGAAAAAAAAATATTGCTTCTTGTCTTGTAAACTAAAAAAGCTATTCTTTCATAAGATACAAATCTCAGTGTATTCGTGAACAGAGATGCAGATCCACTATTTCTTTCCAGTGTCTCATTAATTACAGTTAACAACATTGTTTTTAATAAATAAATAAAATCAGTTGTTTGGAAGAATTTAACAACAGAGCACAACAGCGATCAGCAACCTTGGTTCCAGAAGTAATTTTCCCATTCATTTTCTCTATAGGAATTTACTTAAAAAATAAAATTAAAAAACTTAAATAAAAAAAATTTTTATTAAATAAAAAAAATTAAAGTCGTGAAACCAACCAGTTTCAAGATGAATCATTACAAACTTTCCCAGGAGAAAATAAAAAGTGCACTTCCATAATGTACTTAAAGTGCTCTATTTTGACACACTAATTTTGTACTTAAAATACTAAAAATTATTTTGTAGTACTTCTTAAGATAATCTTAAGAGCATCTAAGTGTACTCAACTGTGCTATTTTGGGACACCATCTTTCATACACTAGTACACTCAAGTGTACTACAAGTGGTATCTAAATACAAATTTTTTTACAGAGAAAGTATGTTAAAAGCACATTTTAGTTCATATTCATGGTGTCCCAAAATAGCACAGTTGAGTACACTTAGATGATCTTAAGATTAGTACTAAAGAATAATTGGTAACCCTTTATTTTAAGGTGTCCTTCTTACCCACGTTACATGTACGTACTATTATAATAACAATAAATTATGCATAATAACATGCAAGTAACTCTAAGCCAAACCTTAATCCTAACCCTAACCATATATTAAGTACATGTAGGTAATTAATGTTACTAAGTAACAAGGATACCTTAAAATAAAGTGTAACCGAATATTAAGTCCAAAATTAGTGTGTGAAAATACAGCACTTTTAGTACACTTTTTTTTCACCTGGGTTGATTTGTAGCAAAAAAATAAAAGAAAGTCCTCTCCTCTACTTCTGGAACCCTGCTGTTTTGCTCTATTTGTCAATTTCGCTGCATGCCTGCAAGACATCCATGTCTCAGTAGCTCCATTGGTACAATCAAGGTGCAGGTCGTTGTTATGGGTTTTACAGAGAGCCTTCTTTTAATCCAGACAGCTTCAGGGTTTATGGAAGAAAGCGAGCAAAGCTGTGTGGCATCAAAGGTACAGTCATTTACACTTTTAGTTCCACGTTCCTTCTCACGCAATTCTTTCTCCAGAGTAAAGCTTTGACAATCTTGACGATTTTCCATCAGAGTGAGTCTGAAGTAAGGTCTTGTGCAAAAGAACAAATGCCTCCTGATTGAGTCATCTTTTAATGTCAGGATGAAAGACCCTTACCTTTTCCATAAGCATCGCTCATTTGCATGTGTACACCTCTGTCCTCTCGCTGCAAGTGTTGCATTTGACGTAGCAGCACCAGAAGAACTTGCAGTGGCACTGCCAGACTCGTGAATACTGGTGTGTGTTGTATCCGCGGCCGCAGCACATCAGCTCGCAGCCGTTGGGATGGTGCATCAGCGTCTTATTGCACACCCGGCCCTGAGTGCCCACGCTGCCCGTCACGGGGTCCGCCTCGCAGTAGCTGGGTGATTTCTCGATGTACACCAGATCCGTGTCCATGGGCTTGCGGTACGAGTAGGGCTTTTTGATCTTGAGGAAAGTGGGCCGCTTGTGGCGCGTGGCTTTGACCGGCTCCACGTGGACGGCATGGCTGTATTTGTCTTTGAGGATGTAGCCGAGCTCGCGAAACTTGGGGAGGGTCATCCAGCAGGTTCTGGTGGTGCAGGATCCAGACACACCGTGGCATTTACACTCCAGCCGCATGCTCCTCTCCAGGACCTGAGACCAGCACAGCAGCAGGAATATAATACATCAGTGCTTCCATCAATCGAATGTCTCATTACTGACAATGAACACACCACATGTTGTAAACAGTGTTGCACTCTCAGAAAAAAAGATACAAAAGCTGTCACTGGGGCGGTACCTTTTCAAAAGGTACACTTTTGTACGTTTTAGGTACTAATATGTACACTTTAGGTACTAATATGTACCTTTAAGGTACCAAAATGGACCCTTTAGGTACAAAAATGTACCTTTTGAAAAGGTACCGCCCCAGTGACAACTTTTGCACCTTTTTTTCTGAGAGTGTGGGAAGGTTAAGTTACACTTTATTTTAAGGTGTCCTTGTTACAGTTTAATTCTACATTTAGGTACTGGGTAATATTAATTAACTACATGTACTTACTATATGGTTAGGGTTACTTGCATGTAATTATGCATAATTTATTGTTATTATAATAGTAAGTACATGTAACGTGTAACAAGGACACCTTAAAATAAAGTGTTACAGACGGTTACTTTGGAAATGTAATAGGTTACAGATTACAAGTTACCCTATTTAGAATGTAATAAGTAGTGCAACTATATAGCAGTTACTTTATTGGTGTAACTGATTACATTTTATTACTTGTTTGTTACTTTTCTAAATTTAAATTTATATTTTTTTCTACATTTTTCTAAACTGTTAATCATTTTGAAACATTTAAAGCAGGTGGGGTTAACCTTACAGTAGCAATAAACACAGATCAGGGTTAGGGTTAGAGTTAGTCCTGAAACACATGCAATTTGGGAAATAAATCAATCATATCTGTATGTGTGTGAAAATATTCAGATGCAACCCCCTTTGTAATCATTAACATTTTCATAAGTAACTGTAATTTAATTACACATTTTTTCTCAGTAATTGTAACAGTTATTTTGTAATTAAATTACATGATTCCGTTACATGCAACTAGTGACTCCCCAACACTGACTGTAACACACTCACATATACACCTGCATCAAAACTGTACTTCTTTGAGAAGAAATCAATGTGCTTGCAATGTCATTTCATGCTGATGTGTTGCTTCAAATTCAGTCTTCAGACTGAAAAGGTTTGCTTTGAACTTAAGGCTGGATTACACTACAGTATATGACTTTGGTCCAATTTACATTCTACAGATTTTAATCATTCAGAATTGACCAATTTCACTGAAAGTTGCGTAGTCTATAACGGGCACAAGACACCAATTTTCACTTTACTTTGATAGTTCACATTAGACATTCTACTAACTTTAAATAACTTTGCATCTACAGTACATGTCAACTATCAGCAATTAGAGTATTAGTAGATTGTCTGCTTAACATCTGCTAGCACTTTATTTTGATGATCCACCAACACACATTCAGTTGGCTTTACAAATACGTGTTAACTTATTCTACTAACCTGCTAACTTACAGTCTGCTAATACTCTAATGAGAGTTAGTTGACCTGTAGTTAGGGTCAGAGGAATGTCTAAATGTAACCCATTTTTTTGGCTCAGACTGAATCCATTTAGTCAGAGGATATCAGAAATGTTTTATATTTTGAGCTGATCACAGAACACAAGCTGTTTTCATCTATCATGCATCAAGGCATATGTTTCTGTGTAAGCTTGTAGCGTTGGGAACGACTTGAATGTCTGGTAGTGTGTGATCCTCAGTCATTTTTGCGTATGATCCCCAGTCTTTTCTCTGTAACCATTCACAAGTCAGTAAGTACATGATACCTACTGTTTAATTAAAAGTCTGTTCAGATTTGAATGTCATGTAGTGTATACCAGCCTTCATGCAGGTGACAAATCCTCAATATTATGCAAACATGAAGCTGTTGGTACACCATCAGTTTTACAAAAAGCATGCAATCACAGAGCTGTTGGTGGTGGTTTTCGAGGGTTTTATCTAGTAGTGTTCGGATTATTTTTCACCACTTTTACCATGTAGTTGCTAGGGCTAAGTAATGCATGAAGTGTCCAACATTCAACACTTTTTTATGCTACGTGTTTGTTAGTGTTTTCTGGACGGTTGTTAGGGCTAGACTGCTGCTAAACCAGCCTCTGGTTTTCTGGTCTCTAGAAATGCCTTGGGTTCTTTCTTTAATGTCTAAATATTTTTTGACCATTTTATTGATTAAAAAAAGTATAGACTAATATCCTTTCATGCCAATAGCACATGGCAAGTTACTTTGTTTAATACAGTGGGTACGGAAAGTATTCAGACCCCCTTAAATTTTTCACTCTTTGTTATATTGCAGCCATTTTGTGTTTTTCTGTCAATATGGGGTGCTTTGTGTACATTAATGAGGAAAAAAAATTAACTTAAATGATTTTAGCAAATGGCTGCAATATAACAAAGAGTGAAAAATCGAAGGGGGTCTGAATACTTTCCGTGCCCACTGTATGTAATATTACTTGTTTCTTGGTTTAATATCACAAATCCTGTATAAGCGACAACAAAAATGAGGCTTGACTTAGCAAACTGATATCTGGAGTATCTGCTCATGTCATCACATTCAACAAACAATACAATAACTGCACAATAACTGTATTGTCATTGCACACAATGTTATTTTCCCCAACAACATACTGTAGCGTTCTCAGACAAGGACGAGGCGTTTTTGATGCAAAAGGGGTGTTTATTTGGGCTGCTGTCGGCCGCCCAACTAACGGCAATCAAAATGGCCCGACATATCGTACATCAGCTCAGCGACTCACACCAGACCTTCTGCGATCTGCTCTTCAGAGATGGGCACCGTGAGCCAGCGGCATTACATTAGCTGGGAGGGGAACGTTCAAACAGAGCACTCTTTTAGTTTGCTCAAGACAAAATCTGCAGCTAGAATCATCCTGTAAGGCTAGTCAGTTCACTAAGAGGCAATTTAGCTGCTCAGATAAGACGGTACAATCGGCGTGGGGACTGAGGAGAAGAGTTGGTGCCATGAATCAGCTCTCTGTGACCAAACGTGCAACAAGCCAGACATAAGATGGAAGCTCTTCACCCCTCATTAAACTCGACTGGGAGAGCAAGAGTGATTATTCTGCTCTCTGTTTGGCTGATAGACCGGTTGGCTCTTACTTCACACATGCCCTAGTTAAAAGAACAGGTCATCTAAAAATGATCAAATTAAACTTCTGTCAAATTGTATTTGACAGCTTTGACGTTAATGGTGTTTGCTCATGAGACTTTCAAGAAACTTCCGAGAAGCTTCAGAAGACTTGAAATACAGTGCATGCAACTTAAAGGGGTCATATGATGTTGCTAAAAAGAACATTATTTTGTATATTTGGTGTAATGAAATGTGTTTATGCAGTTTAAGGTTAAAAAAACACATTATTTTCCACATACTATACATTATTGTTTCTCCTCTATGCCCCGCCTTTCTGAAACGCATCGATTTTTACAAAGCTCATCCGTCTG